GCTGATTGATTTACTCCTTAATATTTGATCAGATTTCTGTGCCTTGTCCTGTTATTTACATTGAGACCGCTAGAGGCTGAGTAGCCTAATTGCAATTTTATGACCTGAGTTATTTATATTTTTATAGTCTAAAATTGTTAACTCTTACACAAATATTAGTGAAACACATTTTTGCCTAAGTTAATTACGCAGTTTTCCTACTTATTTTAAATCGTGTTTTTTTTATAATAATAAAACCACTCTGCCTCTAGCAGCCTCAAATATAGACTGCAAAAAAACAATTTAAATAAATTTCATAGAATTAAGCACAAAGCACCTCTGAAAAGCGCAATTGTTTCAAAGTATTTCGCGTGTGTAAACAGCATTTCATAGTAACAATCTGTAGAGGCACAAAAGGCCGCGCGACGCATCGTCAACGAGCGATGGCACCGCAATATTTAAAACGACACTGTAACAAAACGTGTTCGGATTGAAACCCCGAACGCTCTCCCTTTGTACGAGATTATTCGGACCGCGACCCTCGAATATTCATCATTTATATTTCGTGTATTGATTGGAAAATACGGAAATTGTTTGCACAAACAAAATCCGACGATTCTATCGGAATCTTTTTGCTGTGCGGCTGGCTCTGCGTATTTGTGTAGCGTTAAACCTTTAAAAAAATAAAACGTTTGAAACTTTAGTAGTTACACGCGTTATTTCAGATTGCAATATATAATTTTAAAATCTACATATTTCGATTTGAAAACTTTCATATTAGTCGCATGTTACTGGACATCATGGCACCATATAAATTAAGAATCGATTATAAATGAAATTGTCGTATTATTTTTTATTTGAAAATGTTAAGATAATGATTTGCCTATATTTATAGTGATTGGTTACGAAACAATATTCGTGTGTTTTCAAAGGCCACGGAAGGAGGCGATCCTTTGAAGGATTACCGCGGTCGGGTAAATCTAAGGTTTGTATTTCAATTGTATTATGCGGTTCTTATTATCATTTCTTTGCTAGACGGACGACTTACATTTGGGTAAATATTTTACAAGAATTCCGGAGAATATAAGACATCCGGAATTTCTTACTTCGATTTTTCGAATTTTATAACAACAATTTTGACAAATGTATTGTAAATGATATCTATGAAATACTTCACTCAATAATATTTGTACCTTCTAAGAATCATGACGTTTAAACCAGCAATAACTGCGTCTATACGAATGGACTTCAATTTAAAATTAGAGGGAGAAAACTTGGCGAGAGTTTGTTTCATTAAAACTTAAGTGATATTTTTTATTTTCACGCAGAAACTCTTGAAACTTGAAAATTGGGCTTTTATACCTTTAAAACTCCTTTTATAAGAATTATTTTCAGTTGGATTTTTTTCGTGATTTTGGTGTTGGACAAAATATGTGGAATTCTTCTTTAACTAAACGTATAATGTTGTCGAGACAGTCGATTTAATTACTTTTATTTTAACTTAACATACTTTTTCATAATTTCTTAATATATAATTCAAAATAACCTAATATTGTAATAATATTTACCAATACATTATAAATTTTAGATTTTGTTGAACTTAGTTATACTTTCTTAAAATCGTGCTAAGTAATATGTTAAAGTAAAAATCATTCATCAAATTCAATCAGTTTGGAATTTGAAAAAGCATTGAAAAAGTTGAATCTAGCATCCCGGACAGCGTGTACTTTTATGGCTCATTAAAGAATTAACCTGTTATGGACTCTTCCTGTTATAAAGTAGTAAGTATGTAGATTAAATAAAAGCTTTTTTTTTTATTTTATGTCTATTATACATACATACATACATCTATTATGCATACCATACATATTCATTGTAACCCAAATAAGTTAACATATTTCCAATGCCGATAACTTGAAATCCATTTAACTAACATGTGACTCAAAGCCGATAGTGTTAACGTTGGTAGACTAAACTTAATTATACAGGGTGTGAGATTAAACTAACTCTGATGCGGAGTTTCTAAACAGGAACTTTTATGTTACTTTAAGCTTAAATTTGAATAGTAAACGTACATAAATTAAATATTTTAAGTTAAATACTGTCTATAGTTTACGCGAGTAGTACACATTTAAATAAAACACTTTAACGGTTTAAAAACGCGATACATTAGTTAAAATTATTTGAAAAAACATTTTAACTTCTGCCCGACGTTTCGGATGCTTTGAGTCTCCCCGTGACCACGGCCGTTAAAGTGTTTTATTTAAATATTTTAAGTTACCTCGTTTCAATCCTATTATTGTCCCGATAGTGAGTAAAAAGCTGCCTTTGTGTTTCACGAGCTTGTACCTACCATGATTCTCCAGTGTGGTTTGTGTTAATATTTATCTGTTAGACTAATGTTTTAAAATCGTCGACTGCGTAAGAATTTAAAAAGCATTTTGGTATCTTTATTGTATATTTTATTTAGCACGTCTGTTACATTTACTGTTAGTAACATACAAGTAATCCGCTAACTCTTCATAGTATCTTGGGCAAGACATTAACTTTGAAAATGGAGTAGCAATATTCAGTTATAAATGTAATTGTGCGATAGTTATAACTATTAATTATACTGACGATTATTAAAATACAAAGAAAATATAATACATCGTAAACCATTTCTTTTTTAGTAAAATTCCCCAAGAGAAGGGCGCTGGAGCTATCTCCTATTCAGTAATTGTAATAAAATCGCTTCTCCTTATCAAACGATCGCTTCAATAATCCATACAATCTGGAAAGCCGGGCATATTTTATGAAAGGGAAACACCCACCTCTTAAATCTTCGGAAATCCAGGTGTTTGTAATGTGATTTATTGAATTTATTTAATGGGCTATTATATCTCTACATACAGGTCTAGTAAATTTTACTCAACTCACGATCGTAGAACTGATTTAACAATATTTTAGAGTAACAGGCGAGCTGTCAGTCTAAAAATTTAACCCGCAAATTTTTATTTCGTTTCTTTTCGTTCTAGACCAGTAGTTGCAGTGTAAAAGGAACAATCACTGCTCCGTAAACAAGGGACAATTTTCATCACTGTCCAATCTGGCTCAATTCTTCTGTGACCCGATTTTGCTCGGACCTCACCTGTAACTTTCGAAGTGTGTTTGTACAGAGAAATCGAAATCGACGTTCGTAATTGAATTGCACTCGTGGTGCCCGCCGCTGTGCCATTGTTCTTTTTTTTACGATAGAGAATGTTAGACAAGCATACTGCATGATTTCACCTGATGGAAGGAAAACTCGATGAGCTGTCTACCTAATTTGGCTTTGGACATTCGGAAATACAGAGGCTGAGATTGTTGACTACACACTTCACAATAATATACTACAATATAAGCGTTTTATAAAATGTAAATATTGGCCTTTTTTTTACATAAACAATTTGTATTTCGTAGTTATAGTTCTGAAACTTAAATTCTGTGATATACCATCCAAATAAAATAATAAATAACACTTTAGAATTTAGACGGTTCAAAACGCGAAAAGTATCAAATATAATTCATACTGGAACACGACGTTTTGATTGCTATGTGAATCAGTGATGACATCTGCTTAAAAAAAGTCGTTTTATTTCGTGTTACTAATCACATAAACAATAAGCCGTACTTAACTTAAAATAAAACTTTTGATTAAATTTCATCGCGATATAGCGCATAAAGCGATTGACATAGCATCTCTGTATCTTTGTATTACAGTGAAACAGACATAATTTAAAAGTGAGGTCTCAATAGCTCGGTAGCTCAAATGGTAGAGCGACAGCACGGAACGCTGACGATGCCAGTTCAAGTCCTGCCCGAGTCAATTTTTTTCAATTTATTTTCTATTTTTAAATTATATAGTGCCTGTTTGTTTTATTTCTGTTTTTTTGGTGTTCTATATCTATATATCCTGTATGGATATATATTTTTATGACAACTAAAGTTAAATTAGTATTTATTAGTAGTTTGGGTACTCAGTAAACTCTTACAGTAGTAAGATAGTAGAGGCTATTAAAAGTGATAGATGGTAAAATATCAAAGAAAAAAAAATAGATATTAGCAAATAAGTGGAATTTGTTAAACGACAGATTGTATCAATAGCAAGGAAATTCTAAAAATAATAAAATATTCACCTGCTCCAATCTCTCTGAGTGAAGTGGAATAATCAAATGGAATTTCCCTTCTAATGAACAAAATAAAAACTTCATCAGGGTCTTATGAATTCATAAAGCGCTTCTTGCGAGACCGTTTCATTAGCTTCGACATTATATACGGGTGTAAATTTGGATACTTTATAATACATAGATTTTGAAACAAGTATATTTAAAACTAGTTACTATCATGCAAGTTAATCTTAAAAGATATCCCCGTTTTTCACATTTTCACTGTTTCTTTGTTCGCAGCGTAATGTTTTCCTGTAAGCCTTCCTCGATAAACGCTCTAACCAACAACACTTAAAGAATATTTAATTCGAACTAGTGTTTCCTAAGATTTGTGCGTTTAAACAAACAAACTCTTCAGTTTTATATTATTAGTATAGATGAAACTTAAAAAATATAATAGCGAACACAAAACTATAAAACATAATGTGCATCATTCATATGAATTTTAAAGTTTTAGCATAAAATAGAAAACCGTGTGTTTTTACAATACATTATAAACGCATTTCTCAGCATCTGTCAAATTTTAGGGAACTTTCAAGGTTCGTTTTAATTTTATCGTATTTATTAGACTGACTTTATGACTACTATCGTTGCTAGCTACGTGCGTTGAAACCCAACGGCATGGCTTTTGTAGCCATTAGCATAGCATATAGCATAAAGGTATACCATTTTAAGCCAACCACTATCCAATAATTTGTAACTAATATCTTACTTACAGCATGTAAATAAAAAAAAAACATTTATCACAGTCTTTTATTTATTTCAAGGCGTCTTTGTATTATTTACTTTATTATGAAAAAAACTCAAACTTCATGAGTTTTTTTCATTTACTTATTAGGCGTAAATTACGTTAAGGAAAACTTTGATGAGGAATGGCGCATTGCTTTCGCTATCTTCGCTATCCACCAAAGCTGGTCCGACAGAGATGTCTTCTTGGTCAACTAGAGCTGGTCCAACAGCGATGTCTTCTGGTTTGATGACAGCGGGTCCAACAGAGATGTCTTCGTGGTCTACGAAAGCTGGTCCAACGGCGATGTCTTCTGGCTTGATGACAGCAGGTCCAACAGAGATGTCTTCGTGGTCTACGAAAGCTGGTCCGACAGAGATGTCTCCTTGGTCAACTAGAGCTGGTCCAACGGCGATGTCTTCTGGCTTGATGACAGCGGGTCCAACAGAGATGTCTTCGTGGTCTACGAAAGCTGGTCCGACAGAGATGTCTCCTTGGTCAACTAGAGCTGGTCCAACGGCGATGTCTTCTGGCTTGATGACAGCGGGTCCAACAGAGATGTCTTCGTGGTCTACGAAAGCTGGTCCGACAGAGATGTCTCCTTGGTCAACTAGAGCTGGTCCAACGGCGATGTCTTCTGGCTTGATGACAGCAGGTCCAACAGAGATGTCTTCGTGGTCTACGAAAGCTGGTCCGACAGAGATGTCTCCTTGGTCAACTAGAGCTGGTCCAACGGCGATGTCTTCTGGCTTGATGACAGCAGGTCCAACAGAAATGTCTTCTGGCTTGATGACAGCGGGTCCAACAGAGATGTCTTCGTGGTCTACGAAAGCTGGTCCAACGGCGATGTCTTCTGGCTTGATGACAGCAGGTCCAACAGAGATGTCTTCGTGGTCTACGAAAGCTGGTCCGACAGAGATGTCTCCTTGGTCAACTAGAGCTGGTCCAACGGCGATGTCTTCTGGCTTGATGACAGCGGGTCCAACAGAGATGTCTTCGTGGTCTACGAAAGCTGGTCCGACAGAGATGTCTCCTTGGTCAACTAGAGCTGGTCCAACGGCGATGTCTTCTGGCTTGATGACAGCGGGTCCAACAGAGATGTCTTCGTGGTCTACGAAAGCTGGTCCGACAGAGATGTCTCCTTGGTCAACTAGAGCTGGTCCAACGGCGATGTCTTCTGGCTTGATGACAGCGGGTCCAACAGAGATGTCTTCGTGGTCTACGAAAGCTGGTCCGACAGAGATGTCTCCTTGGTCAACTAGAGCTGGTCCAACGGCGATGTCTTCTGGCTTGATGACAGCAGGTCCAACAGAAATGTCTTCTGGCTTGATGACAGCAGGTCCAACAGAGATGTCTTCGTGGTCTACGAAAGCTGGTCCGACAGAGATGTCTCCTTGGTCAACTAGAGCTGGTCCAACGGCGATGTCTTCTGGCTTGATGACAGCAGGTCCAACAGAAATGTCTTCTGGCTTGATGACAGCGGGTCCAACAGAGATGTCTTCGTGGTCTACGAAAGCTGGTCCAACGGCGATGTCTTCTGGCTTGATGACAGCAGGTCCAACAGAGATGTCTTCGTGGTCTACGAAAGCTGGTCCGACAGAGATGTCTCCTTGGTCAACTAGAGCTGGTCCAACGGCGATGTCTTCTGGCTTGATGACAGCGGGTCCAACAGAGATGTCTTCGTGGTCTACGAAAGCTGGTCCGACAGAGATGTCTCCTTGGTCAACTAGAGCTGGTCCAACGGCGATGTCTTCTGGCTTGATGACAGCAGGTCCAACAGAAATGTCTTCTGGCTTGATGACAGCGGGTCCAACAGAGATGTCTTCGTGGTCTACAAAAGCTGGTCCGACAGAGATATCTCCTTGGTCAACTAGAGCTGGTCCAACGGCGATATCTTCTGGCTTGATGACAGCGGGTCCAACAGAGATGTCTTCGTGGTCTACTAAAGCTGGTCCGACAGAGATGTCTCCTTGGTCAACTAGAGCTGGTCCAACAGCTATGTCTTCTGGCTTGATGACAGCAGGTCCAACAGAAATGTCTTCTGGCTTGATGACGGCGGGTCCAACAGAGATGTCTTCGTGGTCTACGAAAGCTGGTCCGACAGAGATGTCTCCTTGGTCAACTAGAGCTGGTCCAACGGCTATGTCTTCTGGCTTGATAACAGCGGGTCCAACAGTTATGTCTTCGTGGTCTACGAAAGCTGGTCCGACAGAGATGTCTCCTTGGTCAACTAGAGCTGGTCCAACGGCGATGTCTTCTGGCTTGATGACAGCGGGTCCAACAGAGATGTCTTCGTGGTCTACGAAAGCTGGTCCGACAGAGATATCTCCTTGGTCAACTAGAGCTGGTCCAACAGCGATGTCTTCTGGCTTGATGACAGCAGGTCCAACAGAAATGTCTTCTGGCTTGATGACAGCAGGTCCAACAGAGATGTCTTCGTGGTCTACGAAAGCTGGTCCGACAGAGATGTCTCCTTGGTCAACCAGAGCTGGTCCAACAGCGATGTCTTCTGGCTTGATGACAGCGGGTCCAACAGAGATGTCTTCTTGGTCTACGAAAGCTGGTCCGACAGAGATGTCTCCTTGGTCAACTAGAGCTGGTCCAACGGCTATGTCTTCTGGCTTGATGACAGCAGGTCCAACAGAAATGTCTTCGTGGTCTACGAAAGCTGGTCCGACAGAGATATCTTCATGGTCTACGAAAGCTGGTCCGACAGAGATGTCTCCTTGGTCAACCAGAGCTGGTCCAACGGCGATGTCTTCTGGCTTGATGACAGCGGGTCCAACAGAGATGTCTTCTTGGTCTACGAAAGCTGGTCCGACAGAGATGTCTCCTTGGTCAACTAGAGCTGGTCCAACGGCTATGTCTTCTGGCTTGATGACAGCAGGTCCAACAGAAATGTCTTCGTGGTCTACGAAAGCTGGTCCGACAGAGATATCTTCATGGTCTACGAAAGCTGGTCCGACAGAGATGTCTCCTTGGTCAACCAGAGCTGGTCCAACGGCGATGTCTTCTGGCTTGATGACAGCGGGTCCAACAGAGATGTCTTCGTGGTCTACGAAAGCTGGTCCGACAGAGATGTCTCCTTGGTCAACTAGAGCTGGTCCAACGTCGATGTCTTCTGGCTTGATGACAGCGGGTCCAACAGAGATGTCTTCGTGGTCTACGAAAGCTGGTCCGACAGAGATGTCTCCTTGGTCAACTAGAGCTGGTCCAACGGCTATGTCTTCTGGCTTGATGACAGCGGGTCCAACAGAGATGTCTTCGTGGTCTACGAAAGCTGGTCCGACAGAGATGTCTCCTTGGTCAACTAGAGCTGGTCCAACGGCGATGTCTTCTGGCTTGATGACAGCGGGTCCAACAGAGATGTCTTCGTGGTCTACGAAAGCTGGTCCGACAGAGATATCTCCTTGGTCAACTAGAGCTGGTCCAACAGCGATGTCTTCTGGCTTGATGACAGCAGGTCCAACAGAAATATCTTCTGGCTTGATGACAGCGGGTCCAACAGAGATGTCTTCGTGGTCTACGAAAGCTGGTCCGACAGAGATGTCTCCTTGGTCAACTAGAGCTGGTCCAACGGCGATGTCTTCCGGCTTGATGACAGCGGATCCAACAGAGATATCTTCATGGTCTACGAAAGCTGGTCCGACAGAGATGTCTCCTTGGTCAACCAGAGCTGGTCCAACGGCGATGTCTTCTGGCCTGATGACAGCGGGTCCAACAGAGATGTCTTCGTGGTCTACGAAAGCTGGTCCGACAGAGATATCTCCTTGGTCAACTAGAGCTGGTCCAACGGCGATGTCTTCTGGCTTGATGACAGCGGGTCCAACAGAGATGTCTTCGTGGTCTACGAAAGCTGGTCCGACAGAGATGTCTCCTTGGTCAACTAGAGCTGGTCCAACGGCTATGTCTTCTGGCTTGATGACAGCAGGTCCAACAGAAATATCTTCTGGCTTGATGACAGCGGGTCCAACAGAGATGTCTTCGTGGTCTACGAAAGCTGGTCCGACAGAGATGTCTCCTTGGTCAACTAGAGCTGGTCCAACGGCGATGTCTTCCGGCTTGATGACAGCGGGTCCAACAGAGATATCTTCATGGTCTACGAAAGCTGGTCCGACAGAGATGTCTCCTTGGTCAACCAGAGCTGGTCCAACGGCGATGTCTTCTGGCCTGATGACAGCGGGTCCAACAGAGATGTCTTCGTGGTCTACGAAAGCTGGTCCGACAGAGATATCTCCTTGGTCAACTAGAGCTGGTCCAACGGCGATGTCTTCTGGCTTGATGACAGCGGGTCCAACAGAGATGTCTTCGTGGTCTACGAAAGCTGGTCCGACAGAGATGTCTCCTTGGTCAACTAGAGCTGGTCCAACGGCTATGTCTTCTGGCTTGATGACAGCAGGTCCAACAGAAATGTCTTCTGGCTTGATGACAGCAGGTCCAACGGAGATGTCATTGTCTTCTACAAAGGCAGGTCCAGCTACGAAATGACGGTTTGCTGGTACTGCAAAAGCAGCCGCCACCAGGGCGGCTAGGACTAATAGTGTATTCATACTCCTCACTGTAAAAAGACATTTAATATTCGTATAAAGACAGAAAAAGAAACATTTTAAGGATAAAAATTTTCTTAGCATAATTATAACACATTGTTATCCTTTAAAGTTAAAAAAATATTTAAACATAACAATCAATGCAGTGGTCTGATATAAGGATAACTATTATTTCACATGAGCGCTAATCAAAATATATAAAACATTAGAATACAAATTGAAAATTGGCACGTATGGGACTTGAATCTGGGATCAAGAGGACATCGTGCTGTACAACCATGCCAAATGGTATTATTTTTTAACTTTATTGAGACTTTATCAATAATTTATTGACTATTAAGCCATTGTTTATATTCTTTTTTCTTAATATGTTAGTAAACATTGCTCACCTCGTTGTAGTTGTTGTGTTGTTTATATCAAATATAAACTATACTTTTTTAGGCGAAAACCCACCTTTTATATGTAAATCTTATCTCTTACTACACAGAGTTTTATATAATTAATAAATTAAGTTAAACTTGTCTGACGTAATAATCTTAATAACTGCGATAAGGGCATCAATAGTATTAAATGACAGCGGTTTTAATTCGTGATTAGAATAAAATTAATTACTCTTGCTAACAACATTTTTAACCGACAACGCTAAAACCAGGTGGGTAATATTGTCACTCTATTGTTGTAACTTTTTGCACGTTAAATACTGAGAAGATTTTAAAGAATAAGTAGTCGAACGATTTGTAATGCTAACGCTGGTAACATAGTTAATATATTTTTTACTAGCTGTGCCCGCGACTTCGTCTGCGTGAAATAGTAACTTGGAGCAGAATTTTTAATTATTTAGGCTGTTTATTAATTTATGTAAAGGCGCATTTAAGGCATCCAATCTATGTTGCAAATGCTACTTTGCAACACTCTCACCTTACATCACTCCTACTCTAACTCCCACTCTCACTCACGTATAATATTAGTATAGATAAAGATTATTACTATTTTTTAATAGAGAAAACAACCAATGGTTGGTGTAATATAACATCTTAACAAGAAGCACCGTCAATGCATTTTGGCTTTGGGTGTCCGAAAAGAGAAATCGAAACGCGAACAAACTTCAAAGCTTTGTCGTTTTGTTGACGGTGATTCAAGATTCGGATGTAATTTTGTACCCATACATGCTGTACCTGGTGGGGAACGAACCTACGTCACAACCCTTGAATAATAGTTACCATTGGACCAACAAGCCCGTGAACTTATTTCTTCATTACTATAGAAATTAAATATGGCGCATTAAAAAAAACACTTTAACGGTTTAAAACGCCATATATTAGTTAAACTTATTTGAAAATGATTTTTAACTTTGGCCCGACGTTTCGGATGCTTAGTAGCAGCCGTGGTCACGGGGAGACCCCGTCGTAACTAATATATCGCGTTTTAAACCGTTAAAGTGTTTTATTTTAATGTGTACTACTCGCGTAAACTATAGACAGTATTTAAATATGGCGCAGTTCAAATTTTACTTAAAAATAATTTTATAGTAACAATTCTCCTGTTACCAATAGCTGTAAATTAATGTATTCGCGTTGTAAATACGAGAGAGTTCTGGGTTTGAATGGGCAATACGATAAAATAAAAAACAAACACTATAGTAACTATTTGCCCCATACCCCGTGCTGGGGATGCAGGACTTTTATCAATTCAAACCTCGTTGCGTACGATAACGTGTTAGTTTAATTTCTTAAAACTACGTCTTAAGATATTAATTTATTATTGATGACATCAATGGATTAGTTATGCTTTCTGCGCTATAAATTATTTTATCGACATTTGAGTGATACAAATATTAGCAAGATTGCGTTTTTTTCCATTTACACAGACGAGTACTATCTTTTAGTTTTTAATATAATCGTTAAAGTGTACTTGTTATAATTTTATTTACAATTACATATACATGGATGTTTTACATTTTACTGTATTTCTTGTATTTCAGTGAAGAACTAGATGGGTGTTAAAGGTTTTTTAACATAGTGTTTGTGTGTAATTCTGTTCCCTTTATGGGGCGAGAGGTCATTTACAGTATAAAGTAATGAGTTGACCTTAAGCTTTGGAGGTGTTTTTTTCAAATAATAAGTGGATACTGTTTGAAGTTTATGTGGATAGTAGATATATAAATAAAAGCTTTTAACAGTTTTAAACGCGAAATATATGTTAATGTATTTACAATTTATTTATACTACGGCCCGACGTTTCGGACTCCCTATGACCGTCATAGGCTGGTGTAAAGCGTTTAAAACGGTCAAAATTATTTTATTCGAATTATAAGTGGAATAAAACATAAATTAAATCTATATTGTATAATAAGAAATGATTGACAGCTATTTAAATACTGCACTTTCCGGGATATAGTTTAAAATTAAGGTAGGTACGTAACTGTAGGTGATGTGTGGACTTTCCAAGATTCCTTGTGGTTATAGGTGTAATAGCGTTTGCAAAAATAATAAAACGGAAGTCACAAAAAAGAGAAGGAAATACGAATGTAATAAATAATTTACTTCTAAAATTGCTCTGTATCCTTCAACTAATGTGCCTATCTAATACATATTGTCATTGTATGTCAACGGATTTTTGTTTGTCTGTAATGGCAAAAGGTATTTAAAATCAAGTACACATTATATTTTAATATTTATTAAATTATGTTTCGTGCAGCGAATCCTTGCTTGTTAGATAACATACAAAGTTTTAAGAAATTTAACACAAAGTCTATATTATCTATCTAACTTGTTTAGTACAAGTGAGGAAATCAATGCATTGTACAATATAATAATAATTACAGTTATACATTATGTAAATTTTCTATATATAAAGAAATAACCAGTGTTAGAAATATAAGATCTTGTTAGCAAAATTATGTATGTCGCAAGTGATAAATAAATATTTGTAAAGAACCCTAAAATATATAAACTTACTAACGACGTTGGGGTACGATGTATGTTACTTTTTCGTTATCACTTTAATCTTTATTAGTTCTAGTAATGATGTTTTTAAGCATAATTTATATTTAAGGGAGATCAAATAAAGCTTTTAACAACAAAATAGTGTTTATTTTATTTTTATATATTTTAACGGCGTAAGCGACGGGCACTTAATGCATGTATGCAAACTGGGCAATTCTTGTTAACTGTATTTCATGAATTATTGATTCTGCGAGGTTAAAGATCAAATAACGTAGAAAACATATAAGACAAAAAATGCAGGTAGACGTTATTTAGCGGGTTTTTTGACATCTGACATCTGCATCTGACATTTGTCGTTTGACTTAATATGACGTTTCTTATGTCATTTGATTTATACCAAATCTTATTACATCTGTCGTACTATAGGATAACAAAACAATAAGAATAATGAATGGTATTTAAATAAAACACTTTAACGGTTTAAAACGCGATATAATCGTTAAACTTATACAAGTTTTACTAATATAAGTTTTAAAATTTACTAATAAGTGTTTTATTTAAATGTGTAATACTCGCGTAAACTATAGACAGTATTTAATGAATGGTATGATTACGATTGCATTTGTTATCTTTAAGACTATGAACTTTGATGCTGAGCCAGCAAGAAACAATCGCAACTTGACAAAGGCCCCAGGACATTCAAGTCACCGGACCGCACCATTAAAGTAACTGAATAATTAACTGAAAACTTCGTTTCTTTTCAATTACTTTTCTTCTTCAAATTGGTATTCCATTTCAAACTATTTCTATTAACTTTAATCTTACTTCTGTATTTATCTAGAATTACTTCTGGAGAAGATAATACATATTACATGCAGGTTATACTACTACATACTAATTAATCTAATAAGACTTTAACAAATATTAAGATAAGATTTAATGTTTTATTATCTAGTTTTGTAATATCACTTAAATGTGTTTTAATTTAAAGGTAAAATAGATATTCCAAACCAATTATTTAATTTGTTTACTGATGTAACTTTATAGGTCACAGAAATTCTTCGAAACCTATACTTTAACAGGCTAGGCTGAAATAGACCGTACTGTTGACTACTATGACGACGCCTGAAATTTTGCGATAAAAGACGACCACCGTTTAAACAGTGGTCAATGAAGTTAGAAAGTCGTATTATTGCTCTCTCTCATCTTATATTATTTCTTTCAGTTAGTTACTATCTTTACAATATACTTGTTTTTTCATTGGCTCATTTTTATCTTTAAATTGTTTTATCAAATAAAGTAGGTTTATCAAACGTCACAAGGTAATGTATAATCTATAACATAAATTCACTTTATAATCACACTGATTATTATTGCCAGCATCTCATCAAAGGTAAAAATTTTACTTAATTAATACATTTATTTTAAAATGGTAATATTAACAGTGTTTCCTAGCATTGCGTTAAGCACCATAATTTATATCTGTCGAGCAAGGCACAGAAATATGTTAGCCTCAGCATACAGAGTAAACGGCATATTTTAAATATAAAACAGGGTTTTTATCGAGCAAGCAAATGCATCCTAAAGATAGGTTGCCGTACTTCTCTTATCAATTGGTTACTACAATGATTGATGGGTGTATGCTAAAAATAACATTTTATTTCCAAATATCTTCATTAGAATTCAGAATCTGATACATTATTTATTAAGTATTTTAACATTAAAAATACACAACAATAAAAATACTAACATTTCATAGGTGCAAAATATTTACTTTCTATAAGACTTAGTTCATGTCATCAGGGACATTTTGAGCATTATCTGCGTCAAGACCTGGGGAGGGAAGCTCAGGCTTGCCGATATCAGCTGGGGAGGGGACAACGGGGACCTCGGGCTGACTAATGTCAGCGGGGGCAGGCACTGGTTTGATCTCTGGTTTTGCAACATTGATGGCTTCATCTGCAATGATGACAGGGTCGGGCTTGATCTCAGGAACGATAGCTGGGTCATTGTTAATGTTTTCTGGCACATCAACTGGAATATCCACGACGTGGTTCTTGTTGTTGATGTTGATGATGACTTGGATGAGAGCTCCCTGGGGCTGAGCGTCATCGATGATAGCGGGACCTACGTTAATGTTTTCGGGGACTAGAGCTGGGCTGACGTTGATGTTCTCAGGGACTAGAGCTGGACCTACGTTAATGTTTTCGGGGACTAGAGCTGGGCTGACGTTGATGTTCTCAGGGACTAGAGCTGGACCGACGTTGATGTTTTCAGGGACTAGAGCTGGACCGACGTTGATGTTTTCGGGGACCAGAGCTGGGTTTACGTTGATGTTTTCGGGGACTAGAGCTGGGTTAAGATTGATGTTTTCGGGGTCCTTGACGATAGGACCGGCGCTTTCGGGGTCCAGGATCCCGCGGGTTGGACCAGCGACGGCCAGGGCGAGGCAAGCGGCGGCGACGATTAGGAGTTTCATATTGCTGAAAATAAAATTAATTCTTACTCTTGATAATATTTAAGTTTTAATAGAAAAGAATTTCAGTAAATTAATATCAGGGGTTATTAAATATGGCTGTTTATTCCCGTAAATAAATGCTTAGTCGGTATACTTTGCTAATAAAATCATATTTTCTTATCTTAAAATTATTTTTAATTATTATGATACAATTATAAAAACTAATTACTCAAAATGTCAAAAGTTAATTAATTGTTAATCCGCTTGTATTAATAAAATAATTTAATGTTCACTCACCGTTTAAGTAGACAAATTCTTTTTGATTATTTAGTGAGTAAGTTTATATAGCAATAATTATCTAGAGGTATTAACTAAATGATATTTTTAAGATAAAATGTGGTAAGCGGAAATAAGCATTACGGATTTCTGTGTAAATGTAGATAAAATATTTTTTTTAAACATGATTATTTATCCGTTTGCCGATGTGCAGATTAATTTAATGTGATAGCCTGAGATAGAACCTTCATAAGCTGCGCTGAATTTTGCATTTGAAGATCCATAGTAAAAACTTGGTAAAGTTTTTTTGACTCTTTGACTCATCAATGATTAAAATTGAGTAATCGCACTGCTTAAATAAAACACTATAACGGTTTAGAACGCGATATATTAGTTAAACTTATTTGGAAATGGGTCACGGGGAGACTCTCCCCGTGCTGTAAAGCATCCTAAACGTCGAGCCGAAGTTAAAAATCATTTTAATTCAAAGTGTAACTAATATAGCGCGTTTTAAACCGTTAAAGTATTTTATTTAAATGTGTACTACTCGCGTAAACTATAGACAGTATTTAATCGCACTGTTTGGCATATTTATGATTTATTTATTTATTTATTTATTTTAAAATACATTTATTTTAACATTTAAAAGACAATTCTATTAAGTATAACTAACTGTATGTTTTCTTTACAAGGGGCATGGGGGCAAGTTGCAAAGCTGTTTATTATTATCCCGGAATTATAATCCTACAACTCTCGCAATGAACGATTTAGCAATTTAAAGTAGTAACATGTTCTTAGAAATTATGTGTTGTAAGTACTTGTTTACAAATAACGTCTCTATGACTGTTCCTTTCGAAAGTAGCACTCAAAATGTTGTATTATTGAATTTAGGCGAGAAAAGACCATCTGTACTTTTTACTAATACTTTAGTTAAAACGTTTTTATTGTTGTTTTTTTTTTGTTATAGAAATCGTTCAAGAAAATAAGGGAAGTGGATTCGTATAAAAAGATTTGTTTGTCTCATCCATGCCGATTTATTTTTTGCTGTAATATCGTTTAGTTTTAATATAGTAATGGATTATTTAATTGAATTTTAGATGAGCTAGGATATAAGTGGTTGCACTCATTCGCAGGTAAACTCAATATTCTAGTTATATCCTCCAGCTCTCGACCTGATCCTATCTACATCTGAATAGTGTAAGAGCTAGAACGCAAAACGAAAAAATTTACGCGAATTATTTGCACTATTGCGTAATATATGTATTCAACATTTACAGTTAAATATAAGTATTGTTAGTATTTGATTCGTTTTAACTAAAAAAATTGGCATGTAAAAACAAATCGAAAAATAGCAGTTTTCAAAATAATATATATATTTATTCCTGATTCAATTGGCTAACAAAATTAATGTATTTAAATAAACTACTCTCTGTTCATTTGTTTTTGGAAATTTTTGGTTATTTAGCCCATAAATATTAATATATAGTGAACCAAGCCAAATGGAATAATGATTTTCAATGAAAACGTATTTTAAATATAATTTAATGTTGTACATTTTTACATTTTAATTTCACAAAACAAACACAAAAAATATGCTGAATAAAAAATTTTCTTGATTAGCAGACTCTTAATATCCAAAGCCAAAATTGGGCATCGCAGTTTGTTTAGATGTTATATGGCTGGGGTTATTTTATCTACCCTCAACCCGATGCTTGTACAGACAACAGACAGGACAGTACATACAGTGGCAGAGGACAGACTCTTCTATAATAAAAAATAATAACACGTGCATACTGACTCCTAGACAACACGTTATATAGAATAACTCAACAGATGCCCACTCTATTATCTGAGCACGGAGTTTGCATTCGATTCGCGCTGGAAATCCAATCTAGATCTTTTAACAATTTCATTCTTATACCTTTGTTTGGATAGCTTTCAATTGTACCTTTATTGATAAAGTATTAATTAGTCACTAAAAGAAGTCCATTTAAAACAATTCTTTTTGAAGATCTCAGTTCTAGTGTGTTTCATAATTCTTTATAACATCACTTAATTATTATTCATGATAGATACATTAATCAACGACTAGTATATGTTATGTCTAATGAGATTATTGAATTAGTGTTTCAAGCTTAAGAGGATTATCCAAGACTAGCTGTGCCAGCGACTTCGTTCTTGCGAGGTAATGCTAAAACATAGACATATGCAGTCGCGGACATATTTTAGATCATTTAAAGAAGACTCATTCATATATTGTTTTTTTATTTCTTTAATTTGATTCTTCAGGGTTTTTTCAAATTTTCCTCCGTTTCTTCGGTATTGTTGCTCGCAACGTGATTTTAGTGTGTATCCAAACAAAAAAAAAACCGTTTTCTATATAAATAGGTAGATCCTGTAGTTTCGGTACCAAAAGAAACAAAGAAATACTGTCTATAGTTTACGCGAGTAGTAAACATTTAAATAAAACACTTTAACGGTTTAAAACGCAATATAATAGTTAAACTTATTTGAAAAGGATTTTTAACGGGGAGACGGCTGCTGCAAAGCATCCGAAACGTCGGGCCGAAGTTAAAAACCATTTTCAAATAAGTTTAACTAATATATCGCGTTTTAAACCGTTAAAGTGTTTAAGAAACAAAGAATCTCTTCAGCTTTAAGTATAAATTCATAACAAATGTATGTTACATTAATTATTTCTGTTTGGTGTAAATACGTTAGTGTATTGATAGAAATTATATACATATATAATGTAATTATAACAGACTTGAAAGTATAGCGATCATAATATGTAATATTGATTTAAAACGTACTTAATCCACGCTAGTTTTCAAAGTAGGCTTTAAGATTTAAAGCGTAAGCTGGGAATAGATCCCTCATATCAATATTAATTGGAGTAACCGCATCGAACAGCTTATAGTTCTATAGAGGTTTTATGTTACACGCTATACATTTTCCTTCAAACGTCACGCTTTAAAATATATCAAATACCTCAGCATTTAAATAAGATGCGCACTATATATTAATATTTGGATATTCGAAAATCCACAGAAACCGAATCGCGATGAACTTCACGGCAATCGATTAGAAGCATGGCCCCGGTAGTGATCGAAATCACAATCCGTTGATTGCTACCATGCTACCAACGATTCCGTCGAAAATAGGTCCGAATGTAAAGTGGGTTATTTTTTTCGTCCATCAAGCTGTTATTTCTCAACGCTTTCTTTTAAAAAAAATTTTTCCCTTCCCCTTTTAAAAATGGGGTTTTTGTTTTTTTTTTTTTTCCCCTATTTTTTTTTCCTCTTCTCTTTTTTTTCTTTTTTTTTTTTTTTTTTTTTTTTTTTTTTTTTAAGCCAAAAAATTCCCCCTTAAAAGCCTTTTTTTTTTTTTTTTTTTTGGTTTTTATTTTTTTTGTTTTAAAATTTTTTTTGTGGAGGTTTTTTTTTGGGGTTTTTTTTTTTGTTTTTTTTTTTTTTTTTTTTTTTTTTTTTTTTTTTTTCTTTTTTTTTTTTTTTTTTTTTTTTTTTTTTTTTTTTTTTTTTTTTTTTTTTTTTTTTTTTTTTTTTTTTTTTTTTTTTTTTTTTTTTTTTTTTTTTTTTTTTTTTTTTTTTTTTTTTTTTTTTTTTTTTTTTTTTTTTTTTTTTTTTTTTTTTTTTGGGGGGGGGGGTTGTTTTGCAGGGTGAAATATCCCAGTCTATAGCATCTAAACAAGATCCTTCACCTTTTTGAACCAACGATACGTTGATTATGAGCCGTACATTGCTACCACAATCAACAACGAGCCCATTAATAGTCAAAGCATATTGCTACAAACAACTTACTACAGCACGTACAGTTAAAAACGAAATCGTGAAACTATGTTTGAAGATATTGAAGATTATTCAAAACGAGAAATACATTAGTTAACCTTATTTTATTAATATATTTATCACCGTTAGACCGTTAAATGTGTACTTCTTATATCAATGTTATAATAGACTGTATATTTTAGACTAATATGACAATCTCAAAACAGTACTTTCCAAGTGGATTGAAGAGTGTCGCCCAATTACGAATTTCAATCACTCGGGCAAATTGCTTTGATTAAAAATTCCCGCTCAGCGCTGCAGATGGCAAACATCTAAAATCCAGACTGCCGAAATACCTGCAGGCTTTTCAATAAGCCTGCGTTTTATAACGCTATTATTGTTATTGGACTTTCGACTTCGAAAGATTTTGTTAAACTGCTCGTTGGTCTAGTTATTATATCCGAATGAACACCACGAGGTATATGGTTCGAATCGCTCGGACGAAAGATTGCTATATTTTTATTTAATTCTAGAACCAGACTAGAGATTTAAAAGCTCGTTAACTCGGTTATCATCAGCGTGATGGGTTTAAACCAAAAACCCTATTTCGCATGATAGTGACGACCTAGGCCCAGCAGTCAAAAATAAAGAGTTTGTAATTACCAATCGATGTAGTATAATGAAAGGATTAAATTACTTATAGTTACTTTAAGTTTATTTAAAAAAAATGTATTTACAATAAACTTGTATCCGGTGTATTATTATTATTCCGACTTTATACCGGTTTATCGAGTCATAATTAAATCAATTGGTTTCATTTATTCCCTTTAACTTAGTCACTTTTTATAAGTTTTTTTTTTTTTTAATAAAATTCTAAACGTTTATTGCTATAAAATATAATTAAAATTTTGTTTTTTTAACAAGTCTCGGTAAATTTTTTTAGTACTTTAAACATCTTTAAAACAAACACAGGTTATCATAGACAAATAATGGACTGGAAGTCTTAATAATACTGTACTCACTGACGTAGACCCTACCCTCGTTGGAAAAGAGGTAGAGATTTCGCTCCCGTCTCTAACTTAAAAACAAACACAAACCGATGAAGCAAAACATTAACTTGAGCGTACTTACGAAAATAAACATTAATTCCACTCTCAATATTATTTGCTGCAGGTGGTCTGACGTTGCTTGGATAGCAGAACTTTATTGCTTTTCTTGGATACGAGATAATATTTTGGTTTGTAAGTTGCTGCTGCTGTGTTTGATTTACTCGAATAAAGATGGTGTTCCGTGCGCTCCTAGTTGAAATAGAATACGTTGAGACTGCTATCATTATTATTGGACACAGAAATGTGTATACCCTACATTAAAAAAATGTGACGGAAGGTTTTTTAGTCAGCGAAGTCAAAGTTTAATTATTAACGTAAATACGCTTTATGTTAAAACTAAAGACTATAAATTTACATTAGTATAAGGAACGAGAATAACTAGGAAGAAACTCAGTTTCATTTTACAGTCATCGCGTACTTTAAGTGTGGTACTAATCTTTTTTCTTTTCAGAGCAGGTCCATCTAAATCCTAAGCATTTTTATCGTTTAAATACTTCTTACGTACTTCATTCAAGTACGCTTTCTTGCTTTCTGTCAGGCATAACTTAATTTGACCAACCGAGACGGCACGATAGATTTTATAATAAACACTATTTCCTGCGGTGTAACAGGATAACTTTATTGTAAAAAAAATGAATACTGGTAAAATATAGTACAGAATATAGTTGCAACTTTTAAAAACACGTTTAATATATATATAATGAATATGTATGTATTCTACTACTGTTTAACACTCTTCCCTATTTTCTCATCTCATTGAAAGTCGGGTGTACTAGGCTAACATAATTGTGTCGGACATAGTACGCCTAAGGACTTCCTAAAATCTTCCTATAAAAGCAAAATCGAATTAATTAAGCAAGCTTTCATACAGGGCTGGCTTCAACACTTATTTTATTATTATAATTTTAAGCTGAAATACATTACAAGGAGTGGCGGTCCCATATTTATACCTTGACGACATAACTAAAATATTCACGTTTATAATCAAAAATAATTATAAACGTGGACATTATTATTTATAATTAAAAATGTATTCTAAGTACATCTTCTATTATTAGAGAATCAATAAATATTACTAAAATAGAAATAAATAAAGTTTATCTATACTAATAATATAAAGCTGAAGTTTGTTTCTTTGAACGTGCTTTTGCTAGTATCAGTTTGATATAAAAAAAATTAACTATGCAAGAACGATGAGACGGGGACGACATTGCGGTCACATCTAATGTTTATATATGAGACGAAACGCTGTCATAAGTATAGAGGTAGACTTATATTGATTTAAACCTGCTTTCGAGTTCCTCCCTGTATAGGTTATCTGTGTGCCCAGGGGCAGTTAGCGCTTCCATGCGTGAACCCTGACCTATATTATACTATACACTAGACCGCTCCTGCCTTCCCAATGACATTGGATAACATGATTATCATAAGAACTGGCTTTGTGATAAACGAAAAAGAACTTTTTCTATAAAAGCAAAATGATGAAACATTTTGTGGGTGTTTTAAATATTTTTTAGTGACTAAATGTCACTAGTCCGTAGTTTGAAAGACCTAGGTTTAAAAAAAAAACTTTACGGTTTAAAACGCGATATACGGGGTCCCCCCCCTGACCACGGCTGCTGCAAAGCATCCGAAAGTCGGGCCGAAGTTAAAAATCATTTTCAAGTAAGTTTACTAAATACCTTTTAAACCGTTAAAGTGTTCTATTAAAATGTACAACTCCGTAAACTATAGACAGTATGTAAGACCTAGGTTATCATTACTTAGTGATGTAATAAATAATATGTTTAAGTGTGGGAATAGTCGTGAACGCCCATCTATCCAGAGCAAGCTGGTAGGTCTAAATTCTTAACCCTCTTGCTCTAAATCTGTGGGATATTAATAATTTGAAACAATGTGAAATACGTCGAGTTATATCCAAAACTTATTGACTAATTATACCTTACTACTATTAGTGTTTTGGACCAATTGAAAAATTAAACATCAACGATTCAATGAAACTAAATTTAATTCCACTTATCGTAACAAGAGTTAAATTTGTCTGTAGTGCATTTGTATATTACCGAAAATATAACATTTATAACAGTACAAAACTTTTTAAGCCAAATCTGCTACATTAGCGCTGTAGCGTAGCATATTTTATTTGGGGGACACCCACCATCTTCAAAGCATCTAAAATGTCGGGTCGATGTTTTAATATGTTAACTTATATATGTTGGGTTTCAATCATTTAAAAGTCTTTATATGCCTAAACGCGTAACTTAATTCTGTACTACTAGCGTGTTTAGAATTTCTAAAAAATATAATAAGAAAAAACCATTTAAAATTTTATTGAAAATGGCATATTTTCAATAAAATTTTAATGGTTTAAAATGCGATATATATCAGTTAAACTTATTTGAAAAATATTAAAACTGCTTCAATTCATAGGCCACTTATAGATTTGTAATAAGAATACCACTTATAAAGAATACCCAAATCTTCATCAAGGATTACATTGCTCCAAATGTACTGTTAATTACAGAGTCTCGTAGTCTTAGCTTATATGGCAGGTTATAAATACCAGTGAATTATAGCATTCTGAAATTTAAGATGTCCGTCAGCGAAGACATCCCCAATTAACATTAGTTTATGCTCTCGGATATCGTGGATCCAGGAATGAGTTACGACACGTTGTCCTATTCTATTACATGGCAAAGACCTTTGGGGATGGTACATGCTATAAACATACGCGTGTAAGTTGTGTAATTGAACAGAACAATTCTCAACTTTGGAATTAAATATTGTGTGTAGATTATGCGAGTAATACACACTTAAAGCACTTGGGCGGTAGCTAAATTATTATTATTATCTATTATATAATATATTTATTATCTATATTTATTTAAACTTTGGAATCGACTACAGCAATAAGTATAGTAGTAAATCTCTAATGCGTTCTTACACTTTTGAAATTAAAACGTAAGATACTCGTTCAGCCGTCCCAGTTATGTAGCCCTTATATATAAATAATTTAAAAGCCGTAGTTGTGAAAGAAAGCGAAGGCGAACTAAGGCAGCGTGGTGAATTATTCGCTCTTAAGTCTACCCTCCAATAATGTAATTTCTTGCTTACATACACTACAAGAACACTATATTTTGCGTGATACCAACTTAGCTATTGTTTATTAAAAGTATCGGCATCATTAATAAGCTGTAAAACAATGCGTTTTTATTACTTCAAAAATATATATTAAAATATTTTTTTTTCGATACTTTATCAAAAAATCCTCCTCATCCGAATTCGAGTGATCTAGAATGAGTATGACATGAAACTGATATGAAACAATGTTAGCTATTTAGACAAAAACATTGTTTCTTTGTCGATGTTGGTGGCATACCAAAAGTACTTCAAATCGCCACCGCGTATACCTTAGGTCGCGGTACAAATTCGGCGAAGTAATGGAGTGTCAGCGTGCAGGTAACGAGGTTGGGATCAGCGAGCCGTTAGTTTGGAGCGCTTTAATCATCGCTACAGCGCTGAGTGGTCTACTTTCTCTGATAGCCGTTTTTATCTCTCCTACCTTCACGGCGTTACCTTTAAAACTCCATTTCCTATCGCTCGTTACTTGACAATGTAATCGATATTTAATACACGTTATCAGGCTTTACGGAAGAAATTTAAAATCTCACGAAATTGCAAAATAATACCGATTCTTATCTTATGTATCTTCTTATAAAAAAGTAATAAATATATTTTTATTGCTTACTATAGGTATTTTATAAAAATATATACCATTTGTCAAATAAAGAAAAAAATTAGCTCGTGGACAACGTACGAATACGAATTCCTTTATATCTTACGAGAAGTTGTACATGGACAGAAACTTATTTCTAATCAACAGCAACGTATACAGAAGGCGAGGGAGTGTTTGGGCTTTTACACCCCAAAGTCCAAAAAAGATTTGAGTCGTTTGTCTACACAATCATAGGTGAACGAAAAACTGATTAAAATAAAGGGAGACCTAAATACTTCTCTTTATTGTAACATATTTAAGTTATTTTTTTTATTTTTAGTATAGTGTTGCATTATATTACTCTAGTTGTTTAGTTTGTATCTTAAAGACTAGTGTCATTTTAGCACTAAAACGGATTGCCCAATTTTGTAGATACATCTCGTTTGACCACATTAGGCTTTTGTTTGTACTTTAATTGTAAAGACTTACACTCTGTCTTAAAATGCGAGAGACTTACAAATACCCAATTATCTTTTTTTGTTTTTGGACCATACGGTTTTCTCACAATATTTATCTTTTCTTAGTGCACAAAGTCATCGAAAGTTCAGTATACATAGTACATACAAATAGTCTCACATAGCTTTTGTATGTAAATACGAGGATTTTAATATCTTCACATAAATCTCTCATAACACCTTTACGACGTATTAATCCACAATAATATATGTAGCCCGTAAATCTAGCTATTATCAGGTGCCGGCTGTAAATTAGGAATTATTTTTACTAGATTAGGTATCTGATTGCCTTGATATCAGTGATTCAGAGTTGATGTATGTGTCCTTAACGCTTATATTAACTGTGTAAAAAGGAAAAATTCATACAAGCTTACCTTTTTTTTCTATCACAGAGGAAGACAGAAAACATGAGCTTGAATTGACGGAAGAAGAAATACCCCAGCCATTAAGCATCTACACAAGATGCTCTATCGACCTTTTTTGGCTTTGTATGTTCGAAAATTCACAGCTTTTTCTTCTTTGAACGGTGGTTCGTGACCCGAACGAAATCTTCGATATTCCATCCACTCATTTAATATCGAGATTTCCAGGCGAAGCCCTAAATGTTTCAGAAAAATGAAAAATTAGATAAATGTTGGACCCGGTGGGCATCGAATCCACGATCCGTTGATTATTGGCAATACATTGCTACCATGAGACCAACGAGATTCCTTAATCCGTGAATATTTGTCTAGTATGCGTTTAGTTACTTATATTCATCGCGCGAGGGTACCCAAAATTATCAGTTCTGCCGGCAGTACGAGAGTGCTATTTGCTATGAAATATAAAAAGAGATATAGTGTTGAAAAAAAACTGACGGTTTAACTATTACGATTTGAAGCCCCGTTACCTTAAAACGCCTTCTTATAATAAAATAAGGTATCTAACCTCTAGATAGAAGGTCTTAATTTAGAAGTTGTAAGTAAAATATATAAATCCAAAAGTGAGATATTTA